GGTCTGCCAGAATACTTTGCCGTGTGGAAATTCGACTCCAACACCTCACCGAACTTCTCCCAGGAATCAGTCTTGGCTTTTGTCACTGCTATGGCTGCCGCCTTGCGTGCTTCGACATATCGCACGCGTGTAGATGGCTTCTTGTTTCCTTGCCGGCATATATATACATATATATGGTGTAAAATATCTGAAAAACCTGACAGCAAAAAATCCATTTTTATGAAGAACTCGAGTATTGCCTTTAAAGCTTTTATACTCACTATGTAATGTTAAATGATGAATGCCATTTTCCATTCGAAAGGATGCCAATATCAGTTCAGATATTTGAGAGACATCATTTTGCTAATTATTTCATGATATCATGAAGCAAGTTAGACACTCTGTGAATTTTTGTTCGCCTTCCATTCAGAGGATGGATGAACAAGAGAAATGAAGTCATAATTATTTCCCTTGGGATAACCCAGGCCATATCGTTAATTTCATCATCCAGATTTATGGGCAGAAAGGGATCTTTCTCCAATGCAGATTTTGCTTAGTGGGATGAGCAGCTGTACAAAACCTTGATTTCCGTTGATCCGTTAGCTGACCGCTTTAGGCTTTATGCATTGTCCTCAAGGGAAAAGATACTTCAGTTACTTTGGTTTGATTGCCGTTTTCAGATCAGGGTAGTTCAGTCAGTTGACCGTGATTTAAAGATCACGGTTCAAACATCGGCCGGTAAACTCGCCTGGCATCTTTCCAAGAAACACGAGTGAGAGAAACGATATGGGAAACAAGAAGGAGACAACATGAAATATTTACTACACATACTCTCATTTTCCTGTAGAAAAATGACAACCATATTTGTTTGCAGGTATCGAGCAGGGAAACAAGGCTGCACTCTGTGCTACGTGAATATTGTGTTGCAATGGACGTATATAAAAAATTAAAATAATTTGGACATTTTGACCATGGGGAAATGATGCATAGATTTGTCGTTTAGAGCGGGGCCTTGTTTGAATTGTTCAGCGATGTAAATGAAGACGTGGAAATGCGACTGAGCGCGTTTCTGGTGCTCATGAAATGTCCGAGCCGTCCTCTGGTCGAGAAAGTGAAAAGCGTGTTCGAAAAGGAGCAGATAAACCAAGGTAAAAAGTCTTTGCATTTGGGTAAGTGAATCGCTTCAGGTGTTTCAATATATCACTTTTGTAGTGCGATCCTTCGTGTCTGCGTTCATCGACGAAATCCGGACCAGCAACGATCCGGAGAAGGCGAATTTACGTCAGATTATAAAGAGCCAGTTTTTCGATCCAAAGGCTCAAAAAGACCCGCGACGGTTCTCGAGCTACGTGGAACACGGAAGCTTCTCTCAGGAAACAAACTACGGCATTCTAGCGGACCAAGTGACGATTTTCGTCCCTGACAGTCCGTTGCCAGTATTGCTGTCGTTGAACGTCACGTTGGATTTGTTCGGCAACGCCGTGAACGTTTTCGAGATCGGCGGTTCGGTCAAGGGTTTTGACCGCGTGCTCGAGTCTCTGCTTGGTCACCATGGCTACTTCTCAGACCCAGAAGGCTACTACCTCAAACCAGGAGCACCGCAAACTCACCCAAACCCGTCCATTGCGAGAATGACAGCGCTGGTACCAGTCGTTTGCTCTAAAGTTAACTTTTTCAGAACCGCAGTGTAGTTAGAATGAGTACTGAAGCATCTCTCAGTTAATCTTTGTGTGCCTCAGCACAGGGAATAGAAAACTTGACGATTTTCTTTATTGCTAGACGCCACAATAACTTTTCTGCGTCATGCGAGCATTCTAGTTCCGTCGACCTCTCACGTTATCATCAACCTTTTCTTCAATTTTCAGCTTGGTCTCATGCTGAAAGTACTGTTTTTAGCAACGTATGTGAATATGCCTTCTCCACGGTGGGTCATGAAGCATTTGACACTGTTAAATGTCACGGTGTAAAATAGAGATAGGACCAAAACACGGATCACAGCCGAATCTGTGTCAGTCACAGAGACAGAAAATCGATCCATTTCATCACTGTACATGCACACTGTGATTACTGTAGAGCAGTATGATCAGTAAAACATTTTACCGTTGCTCTGCGTGTAGGTCTTTATTT